TGCCCCCTCACCCACACTGACTGCCCCCTCACTGACACTGACTGCCCCATCTGTGTCACTGACTGCCCCCTCACCCACACTGACTGCCCCCTCACTGACACTGACTGCCCCATCTGTGACACTGACTGCCCCATCTGTGTCACTGACTGCCCCATCTGTGTCACTGACTGCCCCCTCACTGACACTGACTGCCCCATCTGTGACACTGACTGCCCCCTCACCCACACTGACTGCCCCCTCACTGACACTGACTGCCCCATCTGTGACACTGACTGCCCCCTCACCCACACTGACTCCCCCCTCACTCACACTGACTGCCCCATCTGTGACACTGACTGCCCCCTCACCCACACTGACTGCCCCCTCACTGACACTGACTGCCCCATCTGTGACACTGACTGCCCCCTCACCCACACTGACTGCCCCCTCACTCACACTGACTGCCCTCTCTGTGTCACTGACTACCCCATTTGTGTCACTGACTGCCCCCTCACTGACACTGACTGCCCCATCTGTGTTACATGCTGCCCTCTCTGTGTGACCGACTGCCCCATCTGTGACACTGACTGCCCCCTCTGTGTCACATGCTGCCCTCTCTGTGTCACTGACTGCCCTCTCTGTGTCACTGACTGCCCCCTCACCCACACTGACTGCCCCCTCACCCTCACTGACTGCCCCCTCACCCTCACTGACTGCCCCCTCACCCACAAAGACTGCCCCCTCACCCTCACTGACTGCCCCCTCTGTGTCACTGACTGCCCTCTCTGTGTCACTGACTGCCCCCGCTGTCTCAGTGACTGCCCCCTCACCCTCACTGACTGCCCTCTCACTCACACTGACTGCCCCCTCACTGACTGCCCCCTCACTGACTGCCCTCTCTGTCTCACTGACTGCCCTCTCTGTCTCACTGACTGCCCCCGCTGTCTCAGTGACTGCCCCCTCACCCACACTGACTGCCCCCTCACTGACTGCCCCCTCACTGACTGCCCTCTCTGTGTCACTGACTGCCCTCTCTGTCTCACTGACTGCCCTCTCTGTCTCACTGACTGCCCCCACACTGACTGCCCTCTCTGTGTCACTGACTGCCCTCTCTGTCTCACTGACTGCCCCCACACTGACTGCCCTCTCTGTGTCACTGACTGCCCCCACACTGACTGCCCTCTCTGTCTCACTGACTGCCCTCTCTGTGTCACTGACTGCCCCCTCACTGACTGCCCTCTCTGTGTCACTGACTGCCCTCTCTGTGTCAGTGACTACCCCCTCACTGACTGCCCTCTCTGTGTCACTGACTGCCCTCTCTGTCTCACTGACTGCCCTCTCTGTGTCACTGACTGCCCCCTCACTGACTGCCCTCTCTGTGTCACTGACTGCCCTCTCTGTGTCAGTGACTACCCCCTCACTGACTGCCCTCTCTGTGTCACTGACTGCCCTCGCTGTCTCACTGACTGCCCTCTCCGTTGTCTCGTGGGCTGCCCTCCCGCTGCCCTCGCCCTGCCCGGCCTCCCCGCGCGGCGTCGACATTCCTGGTGGCCTGCAGCACCGCGAGACAGTCACGAGTCACGAGCCCATTCCTGAATCCATCTGTGCGGATCTGGGAGCGTCACCTCCCCCTCGTGTTCACCTTGGCGCTGATGATGATGTTGCTGATGATGATGATGTTGCTGATGGTGATGCTGCTGATGATGTTGCTGATGATGATGCTGATGATGATGATATTGCTGATGATGTTACTGCTGATGGTGATGTTACTGCTGATGATGATGTTGCTGCTGCTGATGTTGCTGCTGATGGTGATGTTGCTGATGATGATGTTGCTGATGGTGATGTTACTGCTGATGGTGTTGTTACTGCTGATGGTGATGTTACTGCTGATGGTGATGTTGCTGATGATGATGTTGCTGATGGTGATGTTACTGCTGATGATGTTGTTACTGCTGATGATGATGTTACTGCTGATGATGATGTTACTGCTGATGATGATGTTGCTGCTGCTGATGCTGTTGCTGCTGATGATGATGTTGCTGCTGGTGATGTTGCTGCTGATGGTGATGTTGCTGATGATGATGTTGCTGATGGTGATGTTACTGCTGATGGTGTTGTTACTGCTGATAGTGATGTTGCTAATGATGGTGTTGATGGTGACGCTGATGATGATGTTACTGCTGATGGTGATGTTACTGATGATGATGTTGCTGATGATGATGTTACTGCTGATGGTGATGTTGCTGATGTTGTTACTGCTGATGGTGATGTTGCTGATGATGATGTTGCTGATGATGATGTACTGATGATGGTGAAGTTACTGATGATGGTGATGTTACTGATGATGATACTGCTGATGATGATGTTACTGCTGATGTTGCTGATGATGACGCTGATGGTGGCCGCAGCGAACCCGACACTCACCTGCACCGTCTCGCCCCTAGGTCCGCTCCGACGTAAATCTCACTCGCGAACAGCGCGACGCGGGCCAGGTGAGATAGAAAGACAGAGAGAGACACAGAGAGACACAGAGAGAGACAGAGAGAGACAAAGGCGGCCGTGTAGCGCCTGATCCCCCCGCTGACGACTGCGCCGCGACCAGTGGAGCCGCAGGCTGCGCGCGTGTCTAGGCCTCAACGGGGACGCGGTCTCCATGGCGACGAGCAAACTCGATCCGGGAATCGAGGGCGTCTGATTCGATCCGGGCGGTCGATTCCGCTTGGACTTCGTTGCGCCTGAGGCACTTCGATTGTAGAACGCACATCGAATCTCGGAATCGATTCCATGAGCAAACGTATAGGGTTTTATCTGTTCTAGATTTGAAGTTTTCGTGATTGCAAGGGTCCCCAGAGTCTTTGATTTTATCGGTAAAGTCACGTAGGTGAAAAAGAAATAAATAAAATAAAAATAAATTAAATTAAAATAAATTAAATAAAATGTAATGAAATAAATTTAATCACTTTAAATAAAAAATAATTCTTTAATTAAATCACTTGAAATCAATTTTTATTTATTTTTTTTTACCGACGTGACTTTACCGAAAAAAACCAAAGAGTCAGGTTCTATCCGCTGCTGCACTGTGCGGGCAATCATTGTCGTTATTTTTATTTTATTTTACTTTTATTAATTTTTATTAATATTTTTTACCTACGTGACTTAACCGAAAAAATCTAAGAATATGAATCCTTGCCGTCACGAAAGCTTCAAATCTAGAATTAATCATTGTTCTCATGGGGAATCATCGATTTTGTTCCGTGAACGAGGAGGGAACATTCTAGATTTGAAGTTTTCGCGACTGCAAGGATTCATGATTTAGTATCGATTTATACTTAAAACTTTTATCTGCATTGTATTATGATTGTTATTGATTTTTTTGCACTTTCTCTACGCAGCATGGACTGGTTGTGCTTTTTCTGTAGGATTTTATTGTTTACGGACGTGATGGTCTGATTTGTGTACAATGAATTTTCGGTGTATCTTGTAATTTTAATGTTTGTTGCGGTCGAACCCAAATCAAGAGCCGAATGGCTCACAGGATAAATGCTAATAAATGAAACTGAAAACAAATTTAAAATTAAAAAACATACTCTTTGGTTTTTTCGGTAAAAAAGAAAGAAAATTTAAAT